ATGGCCTTCAAACCCGCCCTTTTATTATATCCATCAATAAATAACATTTAAAATAACAGAAAAACACAGTATAAACCAAGTCGGGGACTGACCATTCGAGCACTCGGGCAATGCCCGAGGGCCCGGGGTCAGTAGGGGGCCCCATGAGATGCCCCTGGTACCTTTCATTGGCTTTTTCATAGGCTTTTTTGGGTGTATGTGAGGACAGAGGGGCCCCATGATCCCCTATTGCCCGGGGGCCCCATGAGTTGTCAGTCCACCCCTGATATAAAACATACGTTCCTGCAAGGTTCCAATAGGCATCAAGAAAAATGAATATCTGCGTCCTGCTTAACTAGGCCTCCAGCCGCAACACCACCGACTCGGAGACACCACCGCAGATACCCCCACCAGAACAACTGGAAGCCGTACCTCAGACGGGTTCCTTCAAAGTGCCTTTCTTGTGCCCACCTTAACCAACAAGGACCTGGCACCCTACCGGACGTCCCCCAGCACCAATATGGCACAACCACCACCCAGACAAACCATCAAACCACGGGGGCGGCACACCATCAAACCACGGGCGGCGGGCGGGCGGGCGGGAGGGAGGGAAGTTTGCCCTGTGAAAACTCTCTCCAGACTGAAAAAAAACCCTGCCACACCCTGTAAGACCACCCCTCATAGCTCCCCCCGACTCCTTCCTTAACCACTTCAAATCCGGACACATTTACCCCCTTCCTGTCCAGACACTTTCACCCCCTTCCAGCCCAGGCCAATTTTCAGTTTTCAGCGTTATGACACTTTGAATGACAATTGCGCGGTCATGCAACACTGTATCCATATGAAATTTTTAGCATTTTTTTGAGACAGATAAAACTTTATTTTGGTGGTATTTATTCACCACTGGGATTTTTTTTTTTTTTTGCTATGTAAATGAAAAAGTCCAAAAATTTTGAAAAAAGCGTTTTTCTTATAAAATTTTGCAAATAAATAATATTTCATCATAAATCTTGGCCAAAATCTATTCCGTTATCTTTTTATTAAAAAAAAAACATAACCCAAATTAGTTTATAATCACAAATTATAATTTTTAAACATTTTTTCTAAAATGTTTTTTTTTTATATTATTATTTATGGGTTTTTTTTTTACATACTGTCACCCTAGCAGTACAGTGTCACCATAGTGACACTGTACTACTTGTGGGGGGTGATGAAGATTTTTTTTTTCACTGATTGCTTTTTACACCCATAAAGGCTGTAAAAGCAATAATTTCTCCTTCTCTCTGGCTGCATTCTTGCAGCCGTTGAGAACTACTGATTGAGCTGTGATTGGTCACGGCTTGTCACATGGTACAAGGCTGTTGTGAAAAGCCCTGTACCATGTGACCTCTGTGATCATTCACAGGTTTCACACGTAGTAAGCGATGATGTCAGAAGTGACATCTTGCTTACTACTCTGCATGTGATCACTGATTGTCCAATCAGTGGTCACATGATCGGGACCTCGCACAGAGGTCCTGTCTGACGATTGGTGTTCCACTGTGTCTGGAGGACACAGCGGGCACCGGATTCACGGTGCTGGCGTGCGTGCTCCAGGGAGCACGCACAAGCAGGGTGCGGGGAGGCCATTTATAAATGGCCACCCGACCCTGCAGTGCCACCGTCTGGCCGTTTATATACAACGGCCGGATGGGAGGTGGTTAACTATTTTTGACTCCCCCTATGCTAATAGGACTCTGCCTCTCCCAACCCCCTCTAACCCCTGTCATGCCGGCCCTTCGTTCAGGGTCTTCTTTTTTTTCTTACTCCGGCCTCTCCTGTATTGCTATTGATCTGAAAAATAGGACACAACCCTTGTGGTTAGCGCAGTGCTTGCATGTCCATGGCGGGTACATTGACGTCTACTGAGTAATTGTGAGGGTGTCCCGCAAATGCATTGCACCGCTGGCTGCTTTGTTATGCCATGCGTTAGCTTATGCACGCCATTGTCAATAGGCCCCTCGCCCTAAGTCTGTGTACCTTTTGTCCGGTCTATACAGGAGTACATGATGTACAGAGAGACGTTTCTTCACATCGTCAAACAGATGAAGACACGGAGTAATTAGTGAAACATGGTGGGTATGCCACAGACAGACTCCAGCTACTCAACTTTCCATATACGCAATCATCTCTGCCTGATATGCATACGGGTTGATGGTGTTATCCTGGGGTGCTGGATCCGTAATCTTGTGTATAATCTTTAGTCACCGAAAACCTCGTTTCGTGTATGGATAAGGTAGTAAGGCAGTTAACTTGTATCATGTGTCGCAGTGTTCAATGTTCATTGTTCGCTGACAGTTTATTAATGACTGCATGTCTGTTGGATCATGTTTACTTGTGACATGTCAGTTGTCACCAGTTCATGCAGCGTGTCGTATCTCTGAGTTTCGTTGTGAGAACTAACTCACCTGAACTTGTCTCATTTTATTTGCTCTGGTTGAGTATGCCTTCCTGAGATTTGGAGAATCTTACCTCTGTACACCTTGCTGTGGCCCATCTAGAGATAGGGTTCCCACCCTCCCCTGTGCAAAGGAGATTCAGAGATTCTCCTTCGATTACAGGTCTGTACACCATGCTGTGCCCATTATGAGGGTTTCCCACCATCCCCATGCAGAGATTATGGGTCTGTACACCTGCTGTGCCCATTATGAGGGGTTCCCACCATCCCATGCAGAGAGATTAGGGTCTGTACACCTGCTGTGCCCATTATGAGGGGTTCTCACCATCCCCATACAAACATTCTGGGTATGTACACATTCTTTGATGTGTTTGTTATATTGTGATGAGGGGTTCCCACCATCTCTGTGCTGAGATTATGGGTCTGTATACCTGCTGTGCCCATTATGAGGGGTTTCCACCATCTCCGTGCTGAGATTCTGGGTCTATACACCTTTCTGTGCCCATTATGAGGGGGTTCCCACCATCCCCGTACTGAGAGATTCTGGGATCTATTGATGTATACAAATGATTTTTATGAGGGGGGTGTTCTCATTGGAGGGGGGGTGTGAACACATGACACCATTCTGTGTCCATTATGAGGGGTACATGTATAAAGGGGATCCCCTGTGCTGAAAGAGATTAAATCTATACAGGGGGTGTGCCCATTATGAGGGTTTTCACCATCCTTTTCTGATTTCTGGGTTGGGTATTGATTATGTGGGGGTGCAGAGATTAATGGGTCTGTACACCTGCTGTGCCCATTATGAGGGGTTTGTTTGTATGTTATAATTGGGGATGTGAGATTCTGGGATGTCGTACAACCCGCTGTGCCCATTATGAGGGGTTCTCACCATCCCCGTGCTGAGATTCTGGGTCTGTACACCCGCTGTGCCCCATTATGAGGGGTACTCACCATCCCATGCTGAGATTCTGGGTCTGTACACCCGCTGTGCCCATTATGACGTGATGTGATAACGCCAGGAACAGACCATTCACGTGACTGCTAGCGTACGAGGGGGGGGCAGGACTGGTCTTGCATTCAGAGGATCGGCGGATCCCAAACCTCGCCCTGCCTCCCAGCATCATAAACCCCTTAAAGGGCTGCAAGGCTCCGGCACCAAGGGGTTAATGAATGCTTTTGTTTCATTCATAATAACGTCACATGATGCGATAGTAGTTCAGGCCCATGGGAAAATTACCTCAATTTTTTAATTCGTCCAATAATTTGGATTCAAGTAAATTTGTGATTTAAATTGAATTTGTAATTTTCACAGTCAGTCAGTTCAGTTCCACAGTCTAATGCGATTCTTAGGTTTGAAAAAACTTTGTGGCTGCCGAAGTTTGCATTGTATTTACTCAGTTGCATCCATATATGAATGACGAGTCCACCTGAAATATCAAAACTGAACACGGAAAGGTTTCTTCACAGTGAGAGCTGTGAAAATGTGGAATAGACTCCCTCAAGAGTTGGTTGTAGCCAGCTCAGTGGATTGCTGTAGAAAGTCCTGGATTCTTTCTTGGATACACAGAATATAACTGGATATAACATTTATAGGTAAAGTTGATCCAGGGAATATCTGATTGCCTCTCGGGGGATCAGGAAGGAATTTTTTTCCCTCCTGCAGAGCAAATTGGATCATGCTTTGCTGGGGTTTTTTGCCTTCCTCTGGATCAACTGTGGGTTGTAGGATTATAATTTTGTTTTTATTTTTTTATAGTTGAACTGGATGGACTTTTGTCTTTTTTCAGCCAGACTAACTATGTAACTATAAAAACTATATATAGCACTCTTTTGAAAAAACTGCTAAATTTATTCAAATCCATCCAGACCAAACGAATTCCGAAAATAAATTGGTGTAACATAACAAATATGATGAAATAAAAGGAAACAAACATTTCCAGCTTGCACATGTCCACTTAAATAGTCCATATGGCTCCAATTCTGGAATTAGTCATGACTGCTAATACACCCCCAAATGAAAAAGCAATGATCCTTGTTCTGCAGATTGGCGCACTCACCCATGCCTGGCATATTCTGATGCTTTCCTTAGCAAGTTTACATTTAATGAGGGGCTGTTTATTGCTGGCTTGAAAATCCCCAATTTCAACCCTCGGTACTCACACATTACCTCAGCTGCACCTCATTCTACCAAAAACGGAAACTTCCGTTTGGGTCGAGTGATCCTTTAACCTCCCTGGTGGTATGATTATTTCAGATTTTTGATGCTGAAAGCGGTACCATTTTTTTGCATGGAAATATGTATTTTTTTTTATTGTAGGCTGTAATGTAGGAATAACTCACTGAAATCTGTCCGAACAAGAGTCTAGTAAACATCCCGGGGATGACAAAACTTGAAAAACATAAATTATAATTTAATAAATAATCATAAAAATCATAATATAATAATAATATATTTAATTAAATAAAATATAATCAAACCAAAAACACTGAAATTTGACATATATAGCGCCAAGTTCGCACATCGCTGAGCAAAGTCGCAGAATCGTTTTCAGTGTCTGATGACTTTTCTAAGTTTCCAGAAAGAAAGAACAGTCAAAATGCAGGCAGGGCGCCGGACAAAGCAGTAGGAACAAATCTATGTGAAATGTTTTGAAACAGCAATGTTTTACTATGTAATAATCATTTTTTTAAAAAATTTCAAATTTGCCGCCGGTTCCGGCGCCCGTACGTCCCGACGTCACAGGGACCGGAACACAGAAGCCGGATGCTGGCATCGGCCGGAGGAGATGGCCGGGGATGCTGCAGGGGACGCATCGCGGGAGCGAAGGGCAAGGTAAGCGCTGCAGGAACTCCCTGAGCAACGCTGCAGTGTATTCCCGAGTGTAGCTCGGGGTTACCGCTTTTGGTACTGAAACTTTACCCCGAGCTACACTCGGGAATACTGCTAGGGAGGTTAAAAAACAATTGTACTATTGACTAAAAACAGAAGCCATTTATGAAAGAACAAGGAGTAGAGTCAGGACAGGCCATATATGTGACCCTAGATGAGCTGGATGCTCACGCATCAACTCTTCTAAGTCGTAAGTAACTCTGATCCTCACCTAAGACTGAGGGTAAATATCACACATCTGGAATAACATCAAGTTTCCACTGAGCAGTATCTTCCCATAGTAAAAATGCTGGTTTGAGTTCATATTTTAATAATTATTGAAAGCAAGGATCTATTTATCAAAGATTTGAAGTGCAATTTGCAGAACATTTGCCTTTGGCCAAGGTTTACCCGATGTATAAAGCCAAATCAAAGGATATTCAAGCAACGTCTGCCAATAGAAAATACATTACCTGACATTCAGTAACATCTGTTTGCCACAGGAGAAGGCCTTCACGTTGACATTCACCTTATTTAAGAAAAGGATGAATGCCACCCTCCATGCATTTACACCTTACATTTCCTCAACATGCTTTTTTTTTTTTGTTTTTATTAAAGATTTTTAAATTTCAATACAGAAGCAGTAAGGATAGGATGTACTGAAACATGTAAGACAGATAGCAATATTAGAAAAGCAGAATGTTTCCACCACCATGTTTTGACAGTTGGGATGGTGTTCTTGGGTCATAGGCAGCATTCCTCCTCCTCCAAACACGGCGAGTTGAGTTGATGCCAAAGAGCTCGATTTTTGTCTCATCTGACCACAACACTTTCAACCAGTCCTCCTCTATTATTCAGATGTTCAGTGGCAAACTTCAGACGGGCCTGGACATGTGCTTTCTTGAGCAGAGGGACCTTGCGGGCACTGCAGGATTTCAGTCCTTGTCAGCGTAGTGTGTTACCAATTGTTTTCTTGGTGACTGTGGTCCCAGCTGCCTGGAGATCATTGACAAGATCCTCACGTGTAGTTCTGGGATGATTCCTCACTGTTCTCATGATTCATCCTTGGACTGCTCTTTGGTCTTTGTCATGGTGGAGAGTTTGGAATCTGATTGTTTGATTGCTCCTGTGGACAGGTGTCTTTTATACAGGTAACAAAATTAGATTAGCAGCACTCCCTTTAAGAGACTGCTTCTAATCTCCACTTGTTACCTGTATGAAAGAAACCTGGTAGCCAAAAATCCTGCTGAATGATAGGGGATCAAATCCTTATTTCCCTCCTGAAATGCCAATCAGTCATCATTTGTTAGACATGCATTTCTGCTGAATTTGTTGTTTCTATTCTGTCTCTCAGTGTTACAATAAACTGAACATTCGATTTTTAGACCGATCATTTCTTTGTGAGGGGCAAACATTCAACACCAGCAGGGGAGCAAATACTTCTTTCCTTCACTGTAACAGATAACATACCACATACCCCCCCCACCCCCGCCGTCTGGGTAGTGAGAAGCAGCACAAAACTTATCGCCTAGAGAATTGACCACCACACAGGAGCTACGTCTCTGCACGAGGCTAACCAATCTCGGGGCAAAAGGTCAAACAGGCCCCTGTATATTCAAACATCAAACATAGATTATATAAATAACAGATATAGCTCAAAGGGCTTTTGCAGGAACTCAGCACTCATGTGCAATAAGACGGGACATATAAAAAACAACCAAAGAAAAGAAAAATAAGAGGGAGGAGCAAAAGGAAGTAAGACAGTAAAGGCCGTACAGAGCCAGTACAATAGAAATAGTAATAGTAACACAGGATTTAGGGTTCAAGGCTCGGAGCAGACAGGAGGAGAACATCTCGAGGAGAAGAACGCTGGAGAGACCAACCACACGGCTAGTCGTCTACAGAGATTCTGGGTCTGAGCAAGTAAAAGGGACCAGCTGGGAGGGGGGGGGGTCTGGAGGCCAAGACAGGGGACCCAAGGAGAGGATGAAAAATTATATAGAGCCCGTATCTGAAGGAGAGGTAACCGGATTCTCCAATTCCATAGAGTAATACAGCCACCCATCCCAAATACCATGAAATTTCTCAAGGGTGTTGTTGACAGTATGGATCCAGCGCTCCTCCTGATAGACCCTATCAACCTCTCGCTTCCACTCCGCCACAATAGGGCATCTACTCTACTTCCATAGGCATGGCATTAGGCTCTTATCAGCATTCAAAAGATGTGGGGTAACACTACGTTTATAAATTTTGATTGAGGAAGGAGTGCCATGAAACAAATAGTGTAAAGGGGTGAAATTAATAGGCTGAAGGGTCGTTCTCTGGATCCAGGGGAAATATCCCTCTCCTCAACATGCTTTTAACTAAAATTCTCCTAGTGAAGCTGTCGAATCTTTACATTTTTCTACTGAAAATGCAAGGATTGTCCATGAAGAAGGATGAACCTGATTCAAGCGTTTCTGTGGTTATCCTTTTCTTCTATTTCTTTTTCGTGTAATGGACAGTTCTCACCAGAACTGACCAGCCTGTCACACCAGGCATTTGGACTGGTATCCAATTAGCAAGGGAGTGACAAGCTTGCAGACCCCTGTTATGTTGATGCACTACATCCTTCAGTATTGGGAAGGTTAAGAGGGGTTCCCCCCAGGGGCGGACTGACCATTTGGAAACTCAGGCACTGCCCGAGGGCCCGGGGTCAGTAGGGGGCCCCATGAAATGCCCCTTGTACCTTTTTCATAGGCTATTTTGAGTTTGGGCAAGGACACATGGGCCCCATGATCCCCTATTGCAGGGGCCCCATGAGTTGTCAGTCCACCCCTGGTTCCCCCCCCAAAAACAGAGTTCTCCCTCCCAAAGGTCCAATGCCTAATGCTGTCAGGCAGTAAGTTCATAGGCACTTGGAAGTGTGCCAGCAAGGGGAGGAGCTTATAGACCACTTACCTGCTCTCCATGCTGTCGGTTGCCTTCGCTCTTGTGAAATGGTTTTAGGGGTCCCTTGGACCCGTAACTAGTTAATTGGTGCATGCAAGTCCCCTCCTGCAGTAGGATAACAGTCCCCCTATCAGGTTGAGCAATGAAGGTGTTTTTTCAACTGGCACAGTTTTAGGAAGTCAAGGAACTAGGTGGCTAGGGAACTCTGGGAAAGGAGGTCCCTGTGACATCACTGCCCAAAATTAGCTTTACTCTGGGCACATTTCCAAGTGAATCTTTCATGAAGAGACCCCCAACATACAGTTGAAAAAGAATCTAGCTCTGAACAGATATTTTCTTTTTCCCATTTTGTTCCTTTTATAACATATAAAAACCCCTCTAGGAATCATTACACGTAGATATTGACACAGTTATAATTGTTGCACTTGCAATTTCATTATTTAATATTATCAAATGTATATTTTCCCACACTGGGACTGATCATGTGATTAAAGCATGCAGACGATCCCACTCAGGAAGTAAGAAGTGATTGCAATGACATTATACACAGAACATCCGAAACATAAGCAGGTAAGAATCCAAGGTGTGTAAACATCCCTGCAATTTACACTCACCGGCCACTTTACTAGGTACACGTGTTCAATTACTTGGTAACACAAATTGCTAATCAGCCAATCACATGGCAGTGACTCAATGCATTTAGGCATCTGGACGCGGTGAAGATGACTTGCTGAAGTTCAAACGGAGCATCAGAATGGGGAAGAAAGGGGAATTAGGTGACTAAAAGTGGAATGGTTGTTGGTGCCAGACAGGCTGGGATTTTCACACACAACCATCTCTAGGGTTTACAGAGAATGGTCCAAAAAAGAGAAAATATCCGGTGAGCGGCAGTTGTTTGGACGAAAATGCCTTGTTGATGTCAGAGGTCAAAGGGGAATGGGCAGACTGGTTCCAAGATGACTGAAAGGCAACAGTAACGCATGTGAATATGGACCAAAATCTCTGAGGAATGTTTCCAATACGTTGTTGAATCTATGCCATGAAGAATTAAGGCAGTGCTGAAGGCAAAAGAGGGTCCAACCCGGTACTAGCAAGGTGGACCTAATAAAGTGGCCAGTGAGTGTATATTACTGAACTGATAAGATTGTTTTTCATTTACAGTTAGGTCCATATATATTTGGACACAGGCACAATTTTAATTGTTTTCAGGTATTTACCAAAACATAATCAAGAGATAGTTATATAATGGATATGGGCTGAGTGCACACTCTCAGGATTAATTTGAGTATATGTACATCCACATTGGAGGACGGATTTAGGAATTACATCTCTTAAAGAGTAGCCATCCCCCCTTTTTCAAGGGATCAAAAGTAATTGGACAATTGAATATGATCATAAACAAAATATTTTGTTGAGAATCCTTTACTGGCAATGACTGCCTGAAGTCTGGAACCCATGGACATGACCCATGGACTGGAACCCATGACCAAAGACTGGGTTTCCTCCTTTCTGATGCTTTGCCTGAAGTCTGGAACCCATGGACATGACCAAAGACTGGGTTTCCTCCTTTCTGATGCTTTGCCAGGCTCTAACTGCAGTGGTCTTCTGTTGTTCTTTGTTTTTGTGGATCTTTCTTTCTGCCTTTAGTATTGCCTTCAGCAAGTGAAATGCATGCTCAATGGGGTTGAGATCAGGTGACTGACTCGGCCATTGCAGAATATACCACTTTTTTTCCTTCAAAAGGTCCTGGGTTGCTTTTGCAGTGTGTTTTGGATCATTGTCCATCTGTACTGTGAAGCGCCGTCCAATCACCTTTGCTGCATTTGGCTGAATCTGGGCTGACAGTATATCTCTAAACACTGCAGAATTCATCCGGCTGCTTCTGTCTTCTGTCACATCATAAATAACCACCAATGACCCAGTGCCACTGGAAGCCATGCATGCCTATGCCATCACACTGCCTCCACCTTGTTTTACAGATGACGTTGTGTGCTATGGATCATGAGCTGTTCCAAGCCTTCTCCACACTTTTTTCTTCCCGTCAGTCTGGTACAGATTAATCTTAGTTTCATCCGTCCAAAGAATGCTTTTCCAGAACTGTCTGGCTTTTTT